GAAAGGGAAAAGTTCTTCTAAAGTTCACATCTGGCAAGACCCTAGCTCTCAATGAAGTGCTCCATGTGCCTAATATTAGGGTGAACTTAATTTTTGTTACTTTACTGGGAAAAGTTGGAGTCAATGTGTCTTTTGAATCGGATAAAATTATGATGACAAATAAAAATGTGTTTGTGGGAACAGGTTATTGTAAACAGGGACTCTTTGTACTCAATGTTGCTCATGTTATCAATGAAAATATTTCATCTTCTGCTTATTTGATTGACTCTATGGATATTTAGCATGCTAGATTAGGACATGTTAGTGCTTCATATATAAAAGAAATACAATACAAGGTTTGATTTCTGGTTTTAGTAATGGATGCTTAAGCAAATTTGAAATGTGTGGAATCAAAAATAACTAAAAAATCATGCTTACCTATAGAAAGAAACATCGAAATGCTAGAATTAATTCATGCAAACTATGACTAAAGGTGGGAAAAATATTATATGACTTTTATTGATGATTTTTCTAGATATACTAGAGTATATTTGCTTAGAAATGAAGATGAAGCTTTTAACATATTTCTTCTTTATAGAGCAGAAGTAGAAAATCAATTAAATAAAAGGATTAAAACAGTTAGATCAGATAGAGGTGGTGAGTACACCTTATTCAATGATTATTGTGAAAAAGAAAGAATTATTCATGAAGTTACACCTCCTTATTCACTTCAATCAAATGGAATAGCTGAAAGGAAAAATAGAACATTAAAGGAAATGATGAATGCTCTTTTAATTAGTTCTAATGCACTTAATAACCTTTGGGGTGAAGCCTTATTAACAACATGTTTTTTACAAAATATAATTCCATATAAAAGGACAGGTAAAACACCATATGAGTTATGGAAGGTACATAAGCCTAGTCAAATTTTTAAAGGTGTGGGGTTGTTTAGCTAAAGTTATGCTACATGATCCTAAAAAGAGGAAAATAGGTTCTAAAACATCAAATTGTATGTTTATTGGTTATGTTGATCATAGCGCTGCATATAGATTTTTAGTTTTAAAGAGTGATGTGCTTGATTGTAAGACAATAATTGAAACAAAAAATGCTAAATTTTTTTAACATGTTTTTTCCATTGAAATTAGAAAATTTTGGTGAAACACCAACACATAGTTCATTTGATATTTTTCATGAGGATTTGAGAAGAAGTAAAAGACAAAAAAAAAGAAAAATATTTTGAAAATGATTTTTACACATATCTTATTGATAATGAACCTTTTTCTATTTCACAAGCCTTCTCCTCATCAGAAGCATTATTTTGGAAAAAAGCTGTTCAATCTGAACTTAATTCTATTACAAATTGTAATACTTGGACTTTAGTAGATTTACCTCCCGGAGTGAAACCAATTGGGTGCAAATGGATTTTTAAAAGGAAATATAACCCTGATGGATCAATTGAAAAATATAAGGCTAGATTGGTAGCTAAAGGTTTTACTCAAAAACAAAATGTTGATTATTTTGATACTTTTTCTCCTGTAACAAGTATTTCTTCTATTCGAATTTTGATTGCTTTAGCATCTACATATAATTTAGTTATTCATCAAAAGGATGTTAAAACAGCTTTTTTAAATGGTGAGTTAGAGGAAGAAATTTATATGGTCCAACCTGACGGGTGTGTAATTCCTGGACAAGAAAATAAAGTTTGTAAGCTCCTCAAATCTTTATATGGTCTAAAACAAGCTCCTAAGCAATGGCATGATAAGTTCGACCAAACTTTAATTAGTAATGGTTTTTCTACTGTTGAAGTTGATAAATGTGTATACACAAAATTAGAAAATGGTGAATGTGTGATTATTTGTCTATATGTGGATGACATGCTTATTTTTGGTACTTGCCGTGACATAGTGCATCAAACAAAATGCTTTCTTGCATCTAAATTTGACATGAAAGATATAGGTGAAGCTAGTATAATTCTGGGAGTTAAAATCATAAGGAAGTGTGATAGTATAATATTATCACAAGAACATTATGTTGAGAAAATTCTAAATAAATTTAAATATTTTGATGTCAAACCAATGAGTAGCCCTTATTATGCTAATACCCAGTTGAAGAAAAATAGAGGTGATCCAATTGCTCAGTCTCAATATGCATAAATCATTAGGAGTCTGATGCATTTGATGCATTTCACTAGACCTAATATTGCATATGTCGTATGCAGATTAAGTAGATATACCCATGATCCTAGTAATGATCATTGGGTCACTTTGGCTAGGATATTAAAATATTTGAGAGGTACCATAAATTATGGTCTTACTTATAGTAAATTTCTAACTGTATTAGAAGGATACATTGATGCTAACTAGATTTCAGATTCAGATGAGATTAAATCCACTAGTGGTTTTGTCTTCACCTTTGGTGGTGGTGCAGTGACTTGGAGTTCAGCAAAACAAAAAATAATTGCAAAATCCACCATGGAACCAGAGTTTATAGCTTTGGAGAAAACCGAAACTAAGGCTGAGTGGTTAAGAAATTTTTTAAATAATATTCCATTGGGAATAAAGCCAACTCCTTCTATGTCTATACATTGTAATAATCAAGCGACAATATCTATTGCAAATAATAAAATCTTCAATGGTAAGAATAAACACATAAGGTTGAAACATGGGATAATAAAGCAGTTGCTAAAGGATAGAATTATATCCATTGATTATGTGAAGTCAAAATTGAACTTGGCAGATCCTTTGACCAAGCCCTTGGGAAAGAATTTCATAAATACCACATCGAGAGGAATGAGACTTAAGCTAATTTGATATCTAACATTGATAGTAACACAACCTTATGAGTGGAGATCCTATGAAAAGGTTCATATGGATAATAACAAGTCAATTGTTAGTCTTGTTAGTACATTGTTTATCCTTTCCTATGGTGTGAGAAATATGAGAAGTACTAGACTGCATTAACGTGAGGATAAGTGGAAGCTTTTAATGAATTTTATATCCCTTATGGGTTATATATAAAGTGCAATATACACATCATAGAATCACCTATATGAGTGTGGAGTGGGGCCGCTCCTATGAGATGATAGCTTAGTCTCTAGAGCACTCGTGAACATCCAGGCACGTGCATGGTCGAAAAGCACAACACAGCGTTAACAACAAGAGAAATTTATAGTATAAATGTGATCAAATGAGACTCTAATTTACATAAAAAAAAAAATATTAGTTCATAAAAGTTTTACTTCACCAGTTACAATGTTAATTAAGGTCCTAATTATCTAGGTCTGGTTCATAGTCCAGAAGACACTAGACTCGAAACATTTACATTCACGATATAACCCCGTTTTAAAATAATTTATTTTATTACGTTATATTCTTTTGAAATAAGCGGGAGATTGTTGGAAATAATATAATTATATTTCAAAAGAATTTATTAATTATTAATTATATTTTATTATTCTAATTTAATTATTATTATTATTTATATCTTCAGTTGTATGTAACGTTTAGGTGAGCAATTATAGTGATTAAAATATTTTAAATCTTTTGAGAAAACTGTACAAAACTGCACATACTTTTATTATATTTATTTCAATGGGTTATGAGTTGAGATAAGCTTACTAGTTCTTGAGAGCCTTGTTCATTCAGACAAGAAGAGTCTGTTGTATCGTGGAGAATTTTTTACTACACCGAAATAATCCTTAAGGACAGTGTTCTACACGCCTCAGACTAAATTATTGATAAGCTATTTCGAGTTATTTTGACAACATCAAGTACTCTCATCAATATCAAGGATGAATTCAATCTTTTGATTCTCTAAGTAGGCATGAGATTATTGTACTTGTTCACTTAAACAATGCTAGTTGATAAAGGTTATAACATTATTTATTATTTTACGAATTGAGATCTTTTTCCAGCAATCCAATTAACATTTTAGCCCTTCGTATCCATTGTGATGTAACTAAAAGTAAGAGATAATTATTTTTATTTTGAGTTATATTTTAATTGTTAATATTAAAGAAAATTGTAATAATTCTAGTCCTCCACATTCACTATGATGTAGCTAAAATAAGAGATAATTGATTTTATGTTGAGTTGTATTATAATTGTTAACATTAACAAAAGTTGTACTTCTGTGGCAGTGAGTGACACAGTTGTAAACATTTTACAATGAGTGACATAGTGATGAGTGTCCTTCTATAGCAGTGACACATTGATAAGTGTTCTAGTATAAGTGTAACATTTCAAGTAAACGGGTGAAGGTGTCAAGTTCATAAGTAACATGTGAGAAAGACATTATAATAAATAAGTCAAATTAAATTTTAATCTCTAAGTTAATTATTAATTTGATTCTAATTTTAAATCATTAACCATTTAAATATTAAAATTATGTTGCATTTTTATCATAACTTAAATTTTATATAATAATTTTTTTATTTTCTTTATATTTTTTCAATTTAATCTTTATTCCATATATTAAATTTTCTGTGCGACTCAAGCAATTGTGCTTTTGATTTATTTTGATACAACACGTAATAAAACTCAAGAAATTATACAACTACACGTCTAAGTTTAGTAATTAAGTAAATATTTTTAAAATGTAATATATAATTATGAAATTATCTACAAAAATTTATAAAATATTAATATATACTTAATAAAAGATCATTTTTTAAAAATATATTTAAAATACATATATAATGTAGTGGATTACTAAACAAAATAACTTATTTAAAATGTAATAATTATGAAATTAACTAAAAAATTATAAAATCATCATGTATACTTAATAATAGATCAAATATTAAAATGTATTTAAAAATTTCTCAACAAAGTAAATTTTAGGAAAAATATTGTTAATTCAGTTATAGTGGAGATGTAGGGGATCAAACTCTGTACCTCTCGCATTCGGTATCTGAAAAGTTGAATGCATGGTTTTCCTCACTCCCAGCCAATTCCATCACATCTTTGGGGGATCCCATTCAACAATTCTTAGGAAAGTACTTTTCCCCATCAAGGTTCTCTAAGCTTATGACAAAGATATGTTGCTTTCAACAATATGAAGCGAAATCCTTGTTTGAGGCATGAGAGCAATTTAAAGAGCTTTTGAGGAGGTGTCTTCATCATGATTTTTCGACATAGAGACAAGTGTAAATATTTCATAGTGGCCTATCAATCACCACTAGGCTACAATCAATGCCACATCAGGAGGGTCTCTCATAAGAAAAGATTCAGATGATGCATACAAGCTAATAGATAAGATGACATCTGCTAGCTTCTAGTGACATACTGCTAACTCTTACGACATCAAGAGAAAAGAGACCGCTCCAGTCTACCAAGCAGGGACCAGCAGCCCACTAATGAACCAAATGACAACCCTTGCAAAGCAACTAGAATCTCTAATGAAGGCTCAAGACCAACTTGTAAGAGCTCCTACAAGTCCAGAATTTAAGCAAGAGGAGGCAAACTTTATGGGCAATCATAGCTCAGGATGGTGAAGTAACCCTCCTGATTCTTAGGGGAATGACTTTGGAAGTCAAAATTCAAGTATTTATTGCCCTCCCTATATGCAAAATCAAGGGGCAAGACCAGAAGGGAAGAAAGTTCCTAGATCTCAGTCCAACTTGAAAGAACAAATGATGCAGTATGTGCATTACTCTGATAAGAGGATGACAGAGTTGAATCCAAGTTGGACCAATATGTTAAAAGAATTGATAAGAAGTTTGTAGAGATCAAATCTAAATTGAGGGCCCAATCTTCTGAGATACAAGCTCAATCTTCAAAACTTGAATCACAATTGGAGTAAATCACGAATCTTCTAAGTCAAAAAACATTGGGAACATTATTATCTCAGCCCGAGCTTAATTTAAGAGAGCAGTACAATGTCATTACCCTTCGAAGCAGGAAGAAGGTGCAAGAATCGTAAGACAAAAGCAAATGCATGCCCATGCTTTAGAACATGCACGCCCATGCTTCTCCTTTAGGTGCGCTCTTGCCTACTCAGCACGCCCCTGCTGCCATAAAAGCACGACCATACACATACAAGCATGCCCATGTCAATGATAAAAACACGGCTGTGCATCATGATGAGCAGGATTATGCTTCAAGTGCAAAATCTGAAAATAGGAGATAAGTGGGCAAAACAGCAGTGTCAAGGCACACTAAGTCAAGAATTATGTTCCCACAAAGATTGAAGGGCAATAAAAAAGACCCACAGTTCAGTAAGTTCTTAGATACTCTCAAGAAACTCCATATCAACATCCTTTTCATTGAGGCCATCTCCCAAATGCCCAAATATGCAAAGTTTCTTAAGGAGATATTGAGCAACAAACGAAAGCTAAAGGTGTTTAAGACTGTGAAATTAAATGAAGAATGCTCAATAATTCTATTGAAGAAGCTAGAACCTAAACTCACAGATCAAGAGAATTTTACTATTCCTTGCACTATAGGGCGCTCTGTGATTTAGACGCTAGTGTTAATCTAATGCCTTTCTCTGTGTTTAAACAGTTGGGCACGCAAGAAGCCAAATCTACTTCTATTTCTTTGCAGTTTGCTAACTGTTACACGCTTTTTATCGCAACACTTAAATGGTGTAATTTCACTACTAGAAAGTGTACTAGGTAGTTGTAGCAAGTTATAAAATATGGAAATCAGATTGAGTCCTAAGTATCATCCTCTAGGATCTTATTTTTAATCACTAATTCACAAGATAATAACCATTTGCACCAAACAATTCATTGAACAAGTTTCAATATGCAAGAAAGTAAAATTCAAAATTAAGGAAATGATAAATTGTTAAAAATAGACTGTTAACTTGTACTATTAGAATGAATCACGAATGGAAGAAAGTTAGGAATTTATTTCACTAAAATATCAATATCAATTCAGTTTTGCCTCTAAACATTCAAGCATTTGATTGATTGACAATCGATTTCTCTTTACAATAACCAAAGATTGATTCCTCAACTCGTTGGTCCTAATATTCAACCAAATCTCCCTAATTCCTTAGGCCAAATTCAGTTCAATATTGCATTATGAATTAGAACCAAAAGATTGCAAAACTAAGACCACTTATCCCTAAGAAAGTCAAGAGTTTTGGTAATTAATTCAGATCCAAGCAATAAACCCAATTTCCATTAGTGAAGGTTACTCTTTGATTAATCAATTGAATTTCCATTCAAAGATCAAGTAAACACAGAATTAATCCCTCAATCAAATCAAATACTCAAAGTACAGAGTCAAAAAAAAATCAATATATCAATTCTAGATCCATAAATCCCTAACAAAAGAGTTAGAAACATATTACAATGAAATTGAGAGAAGCAAGAAGGAAAGAAGATGAAAAGCAGAGAGCCATCTCAATAACTTTGCCTCTCTCTAGATTCCTCTAGCAAGGAAGAACAAAAATCGCTCCTCTCTTCTCCCTCTAACTTCCCTTGGAAGTTAAAACGGTTACAAAAATGAATACAAAAACTAAAATTGACAAAAAGACCCCCATTTCTAAGTTCCTAATTCCTAGCTCCTCTCATTCTTCGACTTGACCCTTGAAATTCTGATAGTTAGTTGTTTCCAGGTGTTCTGGAATCTTCTAAAAGTGATACAGAAGCTCCAAACGTCCAAAATTGGCAAGAAGTTATAAAGTTGCAGAAATCTACGCCAAAACGCGCAGTGGCTAGAGTAAAGGCGCACAGATGTGCGCCTTGGCTATATGTGATTTGTGTTTCCACACGCTCAGCGCCAAGGCTGCAACTGCTTTGCGTTGCCACACGCAAAGTTACAATCTAGACTTTACTTGGATACTCAGTTCCGCGTTGCCACGCCATCTGCTATGCGTTGCAATGCGCTTTTGCGCGCCAAGGCTTCAAGTGATGTGCATTGCACAACACTCCAATTAATGCTTCTTCTATGTGCTTAGCTCTATGTTGCTACGCCATCTGCTATGCGTTTCCATGCTCTGTTGCGCACCAGAGCCCTAGGTTATGTGCATTTCAACGCAATGGCAGTTATCCAGGTTCAGTTGCTGGAGTGTTAACGCGCATCACTCAGAGTAGCCACGTATACCCAGTGCCATGTTTTGTTCTTTCCACGTTTAAATGCCAATCACTTGGAGTTGTAATGCCCAGCTCTTAGGATTTCTTCAAGCTTGATTCTTTGACTATTCTTCAATTTCAGCTTCTAATCCTTCCTTTAAGCACTTTCAACAACTTTTCATCTTTTTGCATGAACTCCTACAAAAATTTAAACAATTTTTAATATTTCAACAAAACAAACAATTTATACTAATTATATTATTTGTGTGATCTTTTCAAGTTTATTTTAGAACTATTTTCCTAATTATTAACCAAAAACTATGCTAAAAACATGATAAAATATGGATTTATCACTGACCGTTCAATAACCTACCCTAGAGGCGTAGTGGAAAACGTTCTAGTTAAGGTAGACAAGTTTATCTTTCCAGCATATTTTATTATCCTTGATATGGAGAAGGATGATAAGGTGGCCATTATTCTAGGGAGACTGTTCTTAGCCATTGCAAGGGCTATCATAGACGGATAAGAGGGAAAGCTTACATTGAGGCTAGATGATGAGGAAATTCTATTTCAAGTTTTTAATTCTTTATAGTACCTTTTTAGCTGAGAGTCCTGTAACTTTGTAAGCACTATAGATGTTACTTCTCCCTCTCTAAATTCTATGTAACACCTTAAATGTAATTTCTAAATAATAATTCCGCAAAATGGGAGTAATAAAATTTTTATTTAATAAAAGATCTCATCACAGAGTTTCATAAAATAGTTCAACATAATAAAGGATTACAATTTATATCAAAGATTGCTACAAGACTAATTCAATTACATTATAATTTCAAAAATACAATCTAAGTCCTATAGCAGTTCATCTTTCCTTCACTGAGTCTGGTGCTGATCATCTTGGTCACCTGAAAAATAAATGTAAAGGTGAGTACTCTACACTATCCAACACACACAACTAACATAGAGTCTCACCATGTATATCTATAGGTGTTCTGGCATATTTTATTCAAGTCTAGGTAAGTACAAGCAACATTTCAAGCATTTCAATCTTAATCACAATCATCATTCATCATTTATTCCAAGTCAAAATCACAACCGATGTTTACACTGCACCAACAGTTCACACATGTGCACTTACCGCACATAGCCACGCTCATTGTGATCATAGTTTCACACCGTGAATGGTTGCCAGTTACCCCCACCTCACGGATACTGCATGGGCAGTCACAGGTCGCTTAGTAAAGGTAGTGGTTAGAGGTCTAGTCAGGAGGAGAGTGTGTGGCCTGTGGTGCACCCACGCTCACTGTTGATGTCACCACCACTCTCTCTTCCCCAAGGTATTTCTACCGTCCTCATCTTCCACACCTTCAGTGTATCGCTGAACCATTCACAACATCATTACAATGGCATTCAACATGCCTCATTCACACACAGTTTAACCACACACGTTACTCGTTCACAGTACACGACACAATTATCCATAGTCATTCACAGTATACGGCCCAATGGCCCACATTCATCTACCACGCATGACACACACATGTCTATTTCATACACAAAACATTTCAACATACCATCTATACTCATTTTCATCCATTCACATCATTCAAGGACATGCAAACACACCTATTCACCCATATTGGGCTCAACCATTCTACTCATCACATTCAAAGTCAATTCTTCCTAAACATTCACTCATAATTAGCTTTCACATTATCAAAATTGCACCCACCACACATTATCCATCAAATACACAATTCTATACCTCCAATCTCAATCACATTACAAAAACATAGCACTTAAACAGCTTTCCAAGCAAATGAGATAGGATAAAGTCACTCTTACCTCAAGTAAACAGATTTCCAAATCAATAAGGTAGACGCTCCCTCACATGAACTTTGACCTAAATACATGGAAAAACCCTATGAAAACACAGGAAAACCAAGAAAACAGTGAGTGGAGACGAGAAATCATAAACTCTAACTATGGAAACTCACCTCCAAGCGTTCCCCACATGAATCCAACCTTCAATCTAGCTTATGAACTACTTTGGAGGAAATTTAATCAATGGAATAGGGTTTGAGAGTGAAAGAATTGAAGAA